TTTACTCCTTACCTACAAAATTGATCATAGGCCTCTCTGCACTTTTTCTCTCAATTGCAACTATGCTGATAGCCTTTTCCTCAGCAGTAATCATCATGTTGCAACAGAACTCATCACCTTTTTTGGCTTTTCTTCCTGTTATTATACTTGCTAGCGTGCCCATAACTATCTTTGTTGTAATGCAGTTCCCTCTTCTTGTTGAAATAATTTATTCTACATATGGTCCAGGCATCTTCCGGAAGGTGGAGAAGTGGCCATGAAATGTGTGTGTACTTCACATCTTAGTACTTTATGTATTTTCTGTTGAATAAGAGATTCTACATCCCCTCGAGTGTAAAGCATCTGGTTTTATTTTTAGCTTAAGTAAGGGCATAAGTTGGAGAAGCGTGTGTATCATCAACCTTTGCACATTCAGATCATAGACATCTTGGTGTCTCATTATGCCAAACTAATTAATTTTAAAGTAGTGTATGCTGTTTAGCTAGTTTGCTTCATCCCAAATCTCCATTTTCTCAAAGACTCCAATAATCGTGCTTTTGGAAATATATCAGGATACATGGGCCTATTACAAGATATGATGCGCCTATTATAGTTTGAATAACCCAAATAAAGTCGAACCATTTAATTTTAAATTAATAAAAAGTGTAACAGTCTAATTTTATTCATGAGCATTTTTCCATCAATAATAAGAAATTTCAGTAAGCAAAAAGTTACAGTTGAGATTTTTTAACGTGGATGTATTATCTTGTCCGTCACTTATTGTAGTACAAATAATTATTTTTTAAGTAGTATTTATATTAAATAGAGATAAAATTAAAAAAGTGTTATATTTTAAAGGTAAATTAATACAGTTCAAGATTCATTTTTTCTGGGATGAACTGTGTATTTTAATTTCTGAATCTGCAAGAATTGGTGATTACAGTGATCAGGGGAGAGAGGGACAGACAAGATTTACATCATGGTAGGGCACTTTATGATTATGTAATAATTCTCTACGTTCAGATGTAAATGGGGGCTTAGAAGATATAGAAAAACTATTTGTGTTTAAAAAATTATCAATTAAAAATAATTTATCAATATAATTGTACCATGACAAGTGCTTACTATTGACATCCTGGATTATGCCAATTGCACGGATTATATTCTCGAGTATTGGATCGGCCGATCCGAAATAGAACTCAGCTAAATATATAGAGGCCTCAGCTAACTCTCTGTTCTTTCATTTCCTTCTTCCAACAACTCACGGGCATCAACGTCGTCATGTTTTGAGCTCCTGTCCTTTTCCACACTCTTGGCTGCGGCGACGATGCTTCTCTCATGTCCGCCGTCATCGCCGTAGCCGTCAATGTCATGGCCACAATGGCCTCTATTTATTGCAAGCCATCTATCTCTGAATTTTTTTGTTTCCATTCTTTGAAGGGGCAAGTCGGCAAGCTAGGGTGAAATCTATTCACGTGCTCTAAATTAAATCACCAGCCCAACAGTCACAGCATGTCAAGTTCAAAGGATAGCTGTATGTGATTATAGTATATGAAATAATTTTATAGTATACGAAGTAAATATATAAAAAAATTTGTCTCAATTTTAAAAAAATTCTTTTAAAAAGCACTTTTTACGATATCAAGGGGGAAAAAAAATCATCATACATGTTCTCTTGGGTCGGTCAAGAAAGAAGCATCATTTCAGTCTACCATTCAAAAGGCAAAAGCTAACGTGATTATAAAAGAATGTTTAATAGTGAGGGAAATAATAAGAAAAATTTTGGAAAAATCCCCAAAAAAAAAAAACCATGAAAATTATCAAATTGTAAATCAGAATCATTACAAGACTTGTTTTTGACAACAACTGAATGGTAAATAACAATAAATTTTTGACAAAATACCCGATTTATAATTTTACAATTTTTGTAATTTTGTAATTTTCACTATCTTTTTTCATGATATTTTCAAAAAACTTTGTCACGTTCTCCGTTGAATCGGCGGATCCGAAATAGAGATATGATTAATGCTTACCTTTTCCTTTTTGGTCAAAGACTAGCGCTTACTTTACAAAAGCCCAGAAGACAGAAAGGAACATAAGAAGGCTGAGCCATTAGCATATCAAATTTCCGTTAGAGGAGGGAAGCTGCACACACACACACACACACACACACACATTCAAGTTCAACTGGTAAGTAATGTCTATGATTGATGTCTGTTCCTTTCAGCAGAAAATGTGTAGTTATCAAGAAATATTGCCCATTAATTGGTAGCTGCAATTTCAATTTTCAAAGCCGTGGCTATATTACAGAGAGTATCATCACCATCGATCTGCAACAACAGCTTCAATTGAGTTGAGTTATGGAAAGGATGCGCAATTTTAACGACATAGTTGCAGAGCCACTCGCGAAGAACACCAGAAAAGATTGGTTTGAATGGGTTCAGAACTATCTAATATCTCAAGATCTTTGGGAAGTAACGAGTAGTATCGCAAGACCAGACGAAAATGATGTGGAAGATTTTGGCAGATGGAGAAGAAAGAATGCCGCAGCATTGCATGTCATTCGCATCTCTTGCGGGCCTAAGAATCACTCTCATATAAGAGGGGTCTCTGAAGCCAAAGATGCATGGGACATTCTCTATCGTACCTACAATGCACCAAGCTATCCACCCTAAGGTCAGTGCTTTACGTTATACAAATTAGAATCTCGCTGTTTTTTACTCCTCCGGTTCTATTTATAAGCTTCAAATTTGGAGAGGGGTGTCATCTATTTTATAAGTTTTAATTCATGGTTTGTCTAAACATTTAATGCACTTTTTTTATTGTTACCCGTAATTATTTATTCTCTGTTTTTTTTGCCATACCCTCTTGTACATTTTCCCATACATTCTCGTTCTCATTTTTGTCATTTATTATAAAGGCTGTTTGGAAACAAAACTATATTTCTAACATATTTATTACTTTTAATCAATTTTAACTATTTGTTTGTTATCCATAAATTAGTTATTTGAAGCTTATAATAAGGATTGGAGGAAGCATTTGGGAAGTGGATTGAGTGAGAATAGGGAACTAAAATTTGGGCTTGTTTGGTGTGCATGATTTCCACTTTCAAGGATGGAACCATGCGACTCTAGTCTCCTGACTTGTTGATCTCCAAATCCCATAAAAGCTTATATATAGATTGAGTCTTTTCATTGTCTGTGATGACAAAGTTTTCATAGCTCGCAAACCAAGCATCTCTTGAAATGAAACCTTATCATTTTCATTAAAAACTAGTACGATATCAAAATACCTCAGATCTTTTTCAAATTATTTTAATTTCTTATTTTTAATAATCTTTTATTTTTATTTTATATAATTAAAATATATGCACATAACTATGTTAAGGCTAGACTCGAGTCTTATACCTCATTCAAGTGTAGCGGTTGGCGGTTTCGCCAGATCAATTTGTTGACAAGTTACTGCGGTTTAGGGCTGGGAATCAAATTGAAGTCTAATCTGTTGAGCAGTCAGCACATGCACCTCATTACTTTTGTTGAATTTGCTGAAATAATTCGTTATTAAATAATTAAGAAAAGTCAGACATTCTGAAAATAATAGGAAAAAAATAGTCAAAGGACAATAAGATCTTCTATCAAATATATTCATGTTTTAACAACAAAATTGGGTAACAAAGACTCCAAATTTAGGACATTATGAACATTTGTGATTGTATGACAGACCTAAAAGCACAATGTTCCGGTGAAAACCTACAGTGGGTACAAGCACATGAAGCTTGAAAAGGGTCTAAAGAGGGGAAAAACAACTTCCTACGTTAAATATTCGAAACATGGGCGGAGGAGGTTTTGTTCATCAAGGTAGATCAAGGCAATATGAGGTCAAAGTGACAACCTACGTGTTGTTCTCTTGTTTCGTGGCCGCCATGGAGGTCTTCTCTTTGGTTACGACCTTGGGATTACATGAGGCGTAACTTCTATGGACCCGTTCTTGATCAAGTTCTTCCCTTCTGTGTACAAACAAATGAAGCTTGAAAAGGGCCATGAAAACGGACCCTACTGCAGATTCAAAAATGACTCCTAACGTTGTTCACTTCATCTCTATACCCCGCAGCTTTGGTAGCCTCTCTGTTTCCCTCTAACACCACAAGAATTCTTGGTCGTAAAACCTCCATGTTCCTTGGAGGCTTGTTCTTCCTTGTGGGAGCCTTGTTGAATGGTTTTGCAGCAAATGTGGCCATGCTCATCATTGGCCGTCTGTTACATGGCTTTGGTGTTGGTTACTGTAATCAAGTAAGTAACTCACAGTGATATTATTATTTTTCCAAAGGATCGATCGAGTTCACAAATATGCATATAATTGCCCAAACCAACTCAAGTTTTCTCTCTCTTTTTCGGTCAACAGTTTGTTTCGGTGTACAATTTGAAATGGCTCCACCAGATATCATAGGGGTAACCGAAAACAGGGAAGAAACAGAGAAAAAGGGAAAGCTCTGAATAATTCTTTTATTAATCAAGTTTAAATCATACAATTAGAGCTAAGCTCAACTATTTATACTGTAAGCCGTTGTAACATATTGAACTGAAGTTTGTTGCATGTATGAGTTGAGTTGGGCTAGGCCCATTACAGCTGGTTACAGCTAAGCATATAAACCAATACTTCCCCTACTTGACTTTTCCTGAGGATGAATGTCATGCCCCGATTTTTTTTTTTTTTTATGCCTAGAGCAGAAATAAGAGAGATCTCACACTCCCAAGCCTAAACATATGCAAACAATTGTATAACTAACATTTTTAAAGTAATCATAAACAAAAGGATCTCATTGAATAAAACCCGTCATCTGCTAGCACATTTCTTTTTGAATAAAATTTGGAGGTCTGCTCCCCGGTACCAATATGTAATTACATTCCAAAATAACCCAAAAGACTAGGACCTAACGCAAGATTACGTGGAGCATCTAACTAATAAAATAAAGACATACGAGTACTCTTGTGGTTACATTAGCTAGCAATTACTCAAAAAAAATTACATGCTCTGGATCTTTGACAAGGCTCTTCACGGCTCAGCTGGTAATACAGAGTCTGGAGTGCTATCTGAGGCCAAAAACAATCTATTGGTGAATAACATCCCATTTATCAAATTTAAATGCATTACTAAAAGAAAAGAATGAAATAACTTTAAATTTGAGTATTAATATGGCAAAGATTTAAGATCTATACAACGTACAGCTATAAATTAAAAAGGTTAAATATGTGATTAAACTCAATAAATCCGTAAAAACACTTTTCATAATAAAATAACTTGCAATACAAAAAGTATAAAATGTTATATCATATGTAGGACATCAACAGAACGAAACAACAAGCGCGGCTTGAAGCCACGAATACAAGCATGGACACACAGTCCATGAGAGGCAAGTAACCAATCAAGCGTAGCCGAAGCCACGAAACAAGCGCGGGAACTATGCCCACGAATAATCAAGTGAGCTCGAATTTACCATGGCGCGCCAAGGACTAACAGTACTGCTGCTAGTAACCAGCGTTCTGTATTCAGTCCTCTCAAAATATGTACAAGCATGCATGGGATCAATCGCTGACATATAAATATATGGATATATATATTATTTCTAATAATAAAATTCTTTAAAGAAAATTTTGTAACAGGTAATCCCCAAGATATGAATTTTCAAGTAACATCTTCAAAACCTCTATGCAAATTCCAAACATAACTATTAATTAACGGAATAAAGTGCCTGGTAAAGATTAAGAGTACATTTTGTTCGTCATAACAAGCAAAATTATTCTTTCAACAAGTAACATGTTAAGACATTTAATAAGTAAAACGAATTTGACAAGATTTTAAATATGATCACTTTGATAAAATGAAAAATAAAGAAAAACTGAAAGTTTAATTGAGTCAATAACAATAAAAGCTTACTCGTAAAATTTGTAATAATGGGATGTTATCCACTCACCTCTTGTGCTCCCACCTTTAAATGGTTTTGGTTTATAAAACCTTGAGATAAGTTCACTCCTCAATCCCCTAATAACCCAAAATCAAAATATCAAAGCTCCACTAAAAAAATAATCACAAACTTTCTCATTTATAAATTTTTTGACATCACATTTATACTTAGGATCAATATTTTAAATTATTATTATTTTTTTTTTATCTGACTTATACTCATACTTTTTGAATCATTCATCAACAACCTCAACCAACCTTAACAACCCAACCAAGAATATTGCAAACGTCTACGGATTAGCATGTGAGCTGGGAACATTACATATAACTTAACTCTACATAATCAATAGCACCACCCGTACTAACAAATTCAATCTCTCTATATATAAAGACTGCTAGCTCTTACGTCCTTCAACCACTTCATGGAGACCAATGATTATATCCTAATTAATCCAAATAATATCTATTTTATTCTCCTCCGTCAAGATATCATAGCAACACCTATCAACAATTCTTTTCCTCATGTAAGCATTTTACCAAGCATATTAAAGGCATTCAGAACTGGTTCACAGGACTAACATTCATCCAATCTAAGAACATTCCTCAAACACTTGTTTTTTTTCCCATTAACACGCATCATACGAAACAAAACAAACAGCACTACCCAACCACAAGCCTAAAATGATTCCTCTGATCAAGATTGTAAATTACCTTTCAACAAATAAGATCCTTCCTGCAACACCTCACTTTTCTATATATTAATAGGATCATTTTAACGTCTGTGAATCACTAACGCCAGGTTTCCGTCCTGGAAAAAGACAGGGAATTGTTTTTTTCTTTTAACATTGGAATCCGTTGATCAAATATTTCAACCCTTCAGATAATTGTTGAGTGATCCAATATCAACCCTGCTTTCAACTTAATCTATTATCACCTAAAATAATTTCATACTATACAATCTTATAATATTATATTAAAAAAAATAAAGCAACGCTCTTGGTTGACAGCATATACGTGCACCTGGCAATGCTCACTTCCTTCTTCTAGAGGATACAAAATAATATTTCCATAGAGCAAGTAAAGTTACTTGCCCATATATTTTGCTATACAATTTACAGAATTATAACAGGTATCTCTGATCTTCAACCAGCCCACCTTCTTCTTAAATAACCTTCTTGTCCTTCTAGCTACTAGCCTTCACTGTTCGTCATAAATTAGGGGGTGAGATTCTGAAGAATCCCCGTAGTAGTAATTTCCATCAAACAAATGTGCAGATTACATAAAGCATGCAAAACAAGCCAAAGTGGAACATAACCTTGCAAGCTAATGCAATTAAGCATTTATGCGCAATGACAGATAGAAAAGCTAAATAAATAATGCGCAAATACCTGGCGATCACTGCCCCATGTCTATTAGACAAGCTGAATAAATAATGCGCTAATAATTGACAATCACTGCCGCGCATATAATTGGCAATCACTGCCGCGCATATAATTGGCAATCACTGCAGCGCATATAATTGGCAATCACTGCCGCGCAAATAATTGGCAATCACTGCCCCATGTTTATCAGCTGCACGTGGTCACGGCTAAAAATCCATGCAAGGAATTAAGGATTACATGTTCTCATGCTTTTTGAATAGCAATATGGCACAAACAGACATGCAGCAATCATACACAAGTGTAAGAGAGGAAAGAACTACTACCTGAACCTTCTGCTTCAAAATCAAACCTTACTTGTTTCATTTCTCTTAGCTTCTTCGGTGGGCTTTTGCAGATATCAAAACCTATTATTTTAGTAAGGGTAGGTTAATGCTTGATCCAACATAATTTATAAATTAAATAACTCTCTTTAAATCCCAAATTTTCTTTAATCTCTACCATTACATAATAGTTGGTCGTCCTAGATAATTTTTCTTATTCAAACTATTCTCTTTGGAATGCTTCCTTCCTTAATTATCTCAACCCATACAGTTACTTTACTCAGTAACTGGTCATCTTGGTCAAAAATTTGTATTTGACTTTTACTTTTAAGAACAATTTCCTTAGTTTAGATCTGGAAGCACCTATTTAATATTTAAGAGCAATCAGCATATTAACTTTCTTATTCATCCTCTGGTTACTAATAAACATAGTTGACAACTTAATACATTTAATCCAAGACTTCCAAGTTCAAGAATAATTCCTACTTATTATTTAACCATCTGAAATTAGTGTACAGCTCTTGAAAACATGAAATACTCATTTTCAAATCATTTCCAGGTTCCTCAATATGAACCTCATGGCCTTACACGATACACACAGACACACACTTATACTCTCTAAACCACTTCTACATTTATCATTTGCAAATATCATTGCCTAACCCAAAACTGAAATCATATTTAAATCATTGATAAGCAAGACTCCCTATATAATCTATTTGGACTTCAATGTACCTCCTCCAATTCGGCAAACTCCACCCATTTAAATACTTGATCCCCTCTCATAGTTTAGGACAATTTTGTGCCTTATTCTGGAATTTTCTAGATTTAAAACCAATCTTCTAATCATCATTTCATAGTCCTTAATTATGACTTAAGAATCTAATATAGCTGCTTGACCTTGGAAGCACAATAAGCAACTGTATTCAAATTTTCCAGCTTTAATTCCACACTAAAACCATCACGTTGGAGTTCCTTACTTATGATAAGACTAGCTGAAATCATTATATAATAACAGCAATATTATTCAAATTCTAGGAGCATCAAACTCTCTTTATGTTTAAAAATCTGGATTTCTCAGCCCCCATAACACGCAAATATAAACTCCCTTTCGGCCAAACACAACAAAAATACCAGAGAACATTTGAACTCCAATCTCCAAGTGTAACCTTATCTATATCTGTGTATGTCTTCATCTTCCTCCCATATTAATTAATATTTACTGCAGCAACTTTTTCTTCTTAAATCACTGAACCAATCGGACACTTATACACATAGACTCTTATATATATATATATATATATATATATATATCATGCCTAAACTTCCTCCCAATTAACCATTTCAATTTCAATGTTTTCCGCTCATACTTCCCACGGCTTTCCCACACACACACACACACACACATTCACTAATATATATATATCCAAACTCAACTCCATTCAGCAGCAGAATCATCATCTTCCTTCAATTCATTTAGAACCCGAAACACACATATATAAATATATGTATTACTTCAATCTCCCCTGCACACAAAACCTCAATCCATAATTCCTACTAAAATTTTTTTTCCAACAATACGGTTGACTTAGGATAGAGGAGTAAGCCTTATTCAAACCGATACACACACATATGTATATACCTACACTCCTTCAGTTCTGAAAGACCCAACATATAACCCCATAACCAGAAAGTTTAAGCTCTGTTTTGGCTCACAAGAACAGAGCAAGAAATCCACATGCAACCACCATCATCAACATGCAACTTCATATTCATATAATACACGTTTCCTCTCTCCTAATACCTCAAACCCGATGCCTATGAACCCAGAAATCACATGCTCTGTTCGGGAATTCACGAAACAGAGATAATAGTGACATGCAAGCTTAAAAACCAGCGTCATTTACTTCAGTCTTGCCATATAACATGAATTCACTGATCTTTCTCTCCTTTCCTTCACATTCTCTCTCCACCCCAACTCTCTCTCTCCTCCATTGCAGCCAAACCACGCACAAAACCGAAAAGAAAAGGGTAGGAGAATGATCAGGAGGCTTACCTTGTAAGGTTAATCGGTTTGCATGTGACCCAAATACATCCGATCACCACCTCCGACACTTCTTCGTCGAGCTCTAGTTTTTCTCTGGTCTCTCTCCGTTTTAAGATTCAGGCAGCAATGAAATGGGGAAGGAAAATGAATTCTGATGGTTATAAGGACGGAGCAACACGTGCGAGCTGTGCACATGAGGCAATGGACCATTTTGCCTTTAATTATTCCTTATTTCTTATTCCCCCTTCCACATAATTTCCTGAATTTGTGAATCCAAAAATTAATCCATAGTATTTTATATGGATTTTCCTCATCCAATAACTTTTGTGACCCTTAAAGTAATTTTCATAAAAATTTCGGGCCAAAAATCATCTCTCAGCTATTTTTCCATAATTTCCAGAGAAAATAAACCATTCTTCTCTTAAAATTATCTATTAAAAATATTTAAGCCATTTTTGGGGAAATACCTTTTCCAAATGTCTCTAAACCCTAAAATCATTATTCCATAATTTTCCCCTTTTATTTGGCAAATAAATAATTTTAATAAATTTTTCTCTTTTCTACTCATCCCAAATCATAAAATTCACGGTGTTACACTTCCTACCTCTTCTAAGTAGGCCCAAGAGTTCTCCTTTCTGAAATTAACTAGATGTAACCGTGAAGGAGAGGAAATATGGCTCAAAATGCCTTTAATTGTGCACTTTAGCAGAACAGAATCATTTTTCCTTAAACAGGCGTAACTCTTGACAGCAGCAGAAAGAAAATGGCAATGAAGAGATACTAGAGGTGCTGAAAAATCTTGCAACTCCTCCTTGTGTTTCAGCTATGGAAATCGCTTAAGGAGGAAGAGAAAGAGAACAACGAACTGAAATATTAAGGAGGAAGAAGCAGATATTAGTGCGGAATAGGGGAAGGAAGAAAAGAGAGAGAAAAGAGGAAAAAAAAGGACCTTGAATGGAGGAGAAGACAGTGGCAGCGAACAACGACATCAGTGGAGTCGGACGGAGGTAAAGAGTGGCTGGGGTTTTCAGCTTTCAAGTCGCGAACCTTCTCCTACATCTACTCCCTCTTTCGCTGAACCAAAAACAAAAAGGACGATGACATTATTTATCTAATGCCACTTAGTTTTAGTGTTTTTTTTAAAGCATTTGGGGAACTCTTATAAAATAGGAGAAAAAAATATATTTTCCCTGAACAATTGGAGGATTCGAACCTGGGACCTTTAATCTTTTAGCACCACTTACTGCCAGCCATCTCCCACCTCCTTGTTGTGCTCCAACTATAACAATTTATATAATTATTATGTAAATTATAATAAAAGTTTCAGGTTATTACAATGAACTTGCTAGATAGACTTGAGAATTAAAGATACTCTCCACAAGGACCATGTGAAGCTTCTCACGAAAGGTTGTAAATGAAGCTGCAGGTAATGCTTTAGTAAGCACGTCTGCCACTTGTTTAGAAGCAGGGATGTGTGCCACACGTAAAATTCCCTTAGCAACTTTTTCTCTCACAAAGTATAGATCTAACTCAAAGTGCTTAGACTTGCTGTGAAGTACTGGGTTTACAGAGAGAGCAACAGCACCCGAATTGTCACACCAGACAGAAGGTATTCCTGCCACTTGAATTTTTAACTCCTTGAGTACAGATAAAAGCCATAAAACATCAGACACTAAATCTGCTCCACTTCTATATGCAGCTTCTGTAGTGGATCTTGCAACCACTTGTTTGCGTGAAGACCACATGATGGGATTTGACCCCAAGTATGAACAGTAACCACTTGTGGATCTCCTATCATCTCTAGAAGAACCCCAATCTGCATCTGCATAAGATTCGATGGAGAGATGTGTGGCTGGTTAGATCAAGAGACCATAACTTGGAGTCCCACACAGGTAACGAAGGACACATTTAACTCCTTGCTAATGCACTTCAAGTGGGTTCTGCATGTATATTGAGCCAATCTATTTACAACGAATAAGATATCTGGTCTGGTCAAACAAATATATTGTAGAGCACCAAGGACACTACGGTAGATTTTAGGATCTGCATAGGTTGGACTTTCTACCAAGGCAAAGTTTGCATTTGTAGCCATCGGAGTTGCTTTAGCTTTTGCCATCAGCATGTTTGTTTTGGTCAGGAGTTCTGTAACATATTTTTTTTGTGACAAGTGAACACCAAGGCTGCTGCGGTGAAACTCTATTCCCAAAAACAATGAGAGTTCACCTAGATCCTTCATGAAAAATAAGAACTCATTTCAATAATGAGCTGTTTCAAAATCCCTTCATCGCTGCCTGTGAGTATGAGATCATCAACATAAACCAGTAAATAGATGGATTCATTCGGTTTAATCCTAGTAAACAAGCAAGCATCAAACTTAGTTTGTGTAAAACCCAGATTGCACAAGGTATCCTTGAGCTTAATAAACCAAGCTCTAGGAGCCTGTTTTAACCCATATAATGCCTTTTTCAACTTGCAAACTAAGGTTGGACTATCGGGTGTTGGAGAATTTTGCTCGAAGCCTAGGGGTTGCTGCATAAAAACCTCTTCAGTCAGGTCTCCATTCAGAAATGCATTATTAAAGTCAACTTGATGCAGCTTCCAGTTATTTGTGGCAACAAGAGTAACCAGTATTCTAATAGTTGATGGCTTTACTACTGGACTAAAAATATCATTGTAGTCTGAACCAGCTTCTTGAGAAAATCCCTTAGCAACTAATGTGGCTTTTCTTTTTGTAATGACACCCTCTACATTTGTCTTGTTTCTGAAAATCCATTTACATCCCACAATTTTTTGATTTGATGGCTGTGGAACTAGCTCCTAAGTATTAAATTTCAATAAAGCATTATACTCTTCTTCAGCTGCTGCTTTCCACTCAAAATACTTTAATGCTTCCTGAATAGTTTGAGGATAGAATGACTCAAAGGTTGCTGCCAAGTAAACTTTGGGTTTGAATATTCCAGCTTTGGATCTTGTTGTCATGGAATGGGTGTTTTGGTTAAGAGTAGGAATCTGTGGTAGTATACTGGAAGAGGTTTCTGGTGGAAATTCAGGAGAAGACTCAAGTATAGGATCAGTGAATATTGAAGTGGGAGATTGAGGAGAAGAAATAGTGGGTGGAGTTAAATGAGTAGGTGGAGTTAGATGAGATTGAAACTCAACGGGTTGTGAAACTGATTTGGTAGGTAAAGGTGTAAAGGAAGAGGATGAAGTGTTTGTGGAGGAGGGTAACTTTCGAATATTAAATTGAGTCTGACTGGGAAATGTAAACTCATCAAATCTTATATGACGAGAAATGTATAACCTTCCAGTTTGTGGGTCCAGACACTTGTAGCCTCTATGTTGGGAGCTGTAACCAAGAAAGATGCAGGGAGCTGAACGAAATGCTAACTTATTAGTCTGATAGGGTCGCAACCATGGATAACACAAGCAGCCAAAGACTCTTAGGAGTGAATAATCTGGTTTCTGCTCATATAATTTTTGATAAGGAGTAAGACTATCAAGAGGTTGTGACGGTAATCTGTTCATTAAGAACACAGTAGCAGTGAAAGCATGGGGCCAGTAGTATAATGGCAAGGAGGCCTGGGCTAGCAAGGTTAGCCCTGTTTCAACAATTTGTCTGTGCCGTCTCTCAACCAATCCATTTTTTTCAGACATGTGTGGGCAGGAAAGTCTGTGCTCAATACCAGAGTCAGCTAAAAAAATTTTGAATGCCAAAAATTCACCCCCATTGTCAAACTGAAATTGCTGTATCTTTGTTTGAAATCGAACTTCAACCTTTGACTTGAAATTTTTAAAAGCTTGTAAAGCCTCTGACTTGTACTTAAGTAAATATATCCAGACAAATCTACTACAGGAGTCAACAAATGCAATATAATATGCATAGCCAGAAGATGCAATAGGAGCAGGGCCCCACAGATCTGCCATAACTATTTGAAATGGTTTTTTATAGATTGTAGCAAAGGGTACAAAAGGTAGTTTATGACTTTTCCCCTTTTGACACGCCTTACAGACAGAAAAAGACATATCCTTACGAACTACTACATTATTCAATTGTAAAAATTTTTTTTAGTAAGATCACTTGAAGGGTGACCAAGTCTACGGTGCCACAAAGTGAAATTGTTAACATGCATAAAGGCATTCGATTTAAGTACTGGGCAACTTTTTAGCGCGCACACACATATATACATACCTGACAAATTATATATGCTGGAGAGGAGCCAATGGCGTAGACCTATCCCTGCTGACATGCATTTTTCTTTTTCTTTTAGCCCAATCATTCGAGAGGATATGCATGCGTGCATGTCTATATATATAGGTTTATCCTTTCTTTCTTTTTTTGACCGAGGTTTATTTGTGTGGATATACAAGTCTAATCTTTTTTCTCCAGTCAAAGCAAAGCGCAACTTAATTAAATTCTAACATTGAGTTTTCACCAAAAAAAATAAATAAATAAATGCTTATAATAAACCAAGACTGAGACTGAGACTAAGCGCAACTTAATTGAGTAAGCTGTGCATAAACTAGGATTGAGACATATATTCACAAATCATGCTTATAATAAAAATTAATTTTTAATTTCAAATTTCATATTTTGGCATACCTGATTTTACGGGTGCTAAATTAAATGGAAAACTCTACAAATTGTAATATACTATGTTCTATAATAATAGTTATATAATATTATTTGATTTCATCTCCTGCAGTGATAATAGAGGATATTGTACCTTGACCAGCTCTGCTGCCCTCGCCTTCTTGCTGAATATCTACGCAGAAATGCCCAGTGGTTGTGGTTGATAGTATTTTAATATCTTCCACCCAAAAGTGATCAAAGAAATGGGAAAATGTAAGCTTCTTCAAATAATAATGCAGAAAAAAACTAGAAGCACAAGTAAATTACATAAATAGTATTAATTTATTACCGCCACCTCTTGTTTTCTATGAAACTTGAAGTCAAAGATGATATCTTTCGATTAATTGAGGGTTAATTACATAAATAGTATTTTTGGAATTTTTTTGCCAACCTTATTTTTGGAAATATACGTCATAAACGCTTCACCAAATTTTCAAAGAGCCTAATGATGGACCATGAGAAATTTTAGAAGATATCTTATGTTATTATTGGATGTAATGTAGTTATAATAAATACTGTTATTATGCTCACACAATGACAATAACAATGAATTATCAGAAGACAACACTACTTGTAAATATATGTAGGCTAGAGTTGTCGTCCCCTACAAGTGATTAAGAAGATAGAGTTTGGAAAATTTTGAAGCAATCATCTTGCGAAATGACAAATGCAAGAGTGAAAATTAACTAAATCATCTTTTGTTGTTAGAACTAACCCCCTATCGAATGAAGAGAATGAGCAGCAGATGATCGTGATGTTGGAGGGGAGAACGGGTCCCAGTTGTTGAAATGTGCTATTGATAACTACCCTTCTCTGTTTTGTACATAGATAACAGGGAAAATTTGAATCTCTTCATTTGGAACGCTAGAGGGGCAGGAAGTAAAGGATTTGGGCAACTGTTGTTGGACTTGCGTCATCGGTATGATATTGGCTTTCTCGCTATCCTGGAACCTAGACTGAGCAGTGATAGAGCGAGGAGGCTGGCAAGACTTGTGGGGTTTGAGAATTGGGATGTAGTGGAGATGGTGGGTTTTAGTGGAAGCATTTGGGTTTTTGGGAAAACCGAAGTCAACTTTCAGGTCACCAGGAAAAATGATCAAGTCTTGCATGGCATTTTTAACGCAGGTCTACGTACAGCTTAGGAGATCTTGATAGTTTACGGGAGTCGAAGAA